TTTTCCAGTAATGTGTGATAAGTGGCACTTTGATCTATCCAGTTGCCTGAGTCAGAAACCTAGGAATCATTCTTGATGCCACAGAGTACCTTATTCGTAGGGAATACAAATTCATTTAACCCCCAAATCCTGTTGGGTTTATCTATAGCTAAAACTCTCAGTCCATCCACTACTTCTAATGTCTATTGCTACATACCTAGTTGAATACACTATCATCTCTCATTTTCACAACTAAAAGAAACTTATAATTATAATCCTTATTTATCTTTTGTATTGTTTTTGTTTTGTTTTGTTTATGACAGTCTTGCTATATAGCCCTTTAATCACTGAGTGTGTTTTAAACACAAATTCTGACCATAGTTCCACAGATTCCATACAAGTCAATATTAGAAACCCAGGCAGGTGAGATGACTCAGTGAGTAAAGGCACTTGTCACCTAGCCTGTTGAGCTGAGTTTGATATATGGAACCCACATGGTGGAAGGAGAGAACCAACTCCCACAGCACATCCTCTGACCTCCACACATGTACCCACACTCCCTCACGTACACAAATAAATAAATGTAATTTTTAAAAATTCTTATGGGACTCACAAAGTTTTCACTGAATGAAGGAGCAGAGGTCAGGGAATGGGTATATTATAGGAATTAAAAGAAAAAATGTTCTAACTTACTAGTGACCAAAAAAATCAAATGGAAACAAGAGCATGTACTATTTTTTAAACCTAGATTAAAAGGCTACATTTGCTATTTAGATTAGTAAATAGACTGACTGAGGTGATGTGCTGGGCCTGCACACTCACCTTCTGTTTCAGATGGCAGAGGAAGTAGACTCAGCCTTTAAAATAAGTATTATGACTAAAATTATTTGTGAACCATAGAAGTGTTCCACCCTAATGATTCTATTGCTAAATAAAGGAATCTAAGCAACTAATCCAAAATGTAGAAGAACACTATGCATAGATGTTTTCCAATGTATTGCTTAAAATGGTTGGAAAAAGAAAAAAGATAGCTCAGCAGATTAAGACACTTAACACCAAGACTGACCACCTGAGTTCAGTCCCAAGGACCTGCATGGTAGAAGGAGAGAAGCAATTCCCCCAATTTGTTCTCTGACCTCCATGTGAGGACATGTGCATGTGCATGCACACACACACACGTTAATTAATTAAAATAAGTAAACATGAAAAATAAAAAAATTGATAACAAAATGTATAGAAACACACAATTATAAATACACATATATTCCACCAGCACTGGATTAACAAATCATGATACCCTCTTACAAAACAAAATTATGCAATCAAAAAGTACAACAAAAATATATAGCAACATAGAAAATGTTTATAAGTATCCTTAATTATATTAGCTTCCATTATAATTGTATTTAATGTATGAGGTCAAATAAAAGAAAAGTGAATGAAGTCAAAGATGAGGAAGTGACGGGGTAGGGGCGGATCCCCGGGCTGCAATCCTCCAGACCCTCCTACCCTCAGCACCGCGAACGTAAAACACTTCTGCCTGCGGCTCCAGGCTCCTTTACGGCAGCCGGAAAAGACGTAAAGAAGGCGGGGCTGCGTTTTAGAAACCGGACCGTGAGGCTTTGCGCTTCCTCTTTCCAGCCAGCGGCAAGCCATGGGTGAGTGTTGCTGTGGGCCGGCCCCGGGTGCGTGGGTGAGTTCCATCCGTCTCCATCCTGCCCTGCAGCCCGATGTGGGGCATCTTCGGCCCGACCCTCGGCCACGAGCACCCGTGGGGAGCACCGGCCGTGGGTTTGGGCCGTCAAGGCCTCTTGCGGGCGCTCCCCAGGCTCCTGGTTGCGAGCGGCCCAAGATGGCCGCCGCGGGCTGCATGCGTATGATGACACCTGGGTATGCTGCAAACTCCTGACTGTGCAGTGGGGAGGCCAACCTTGGAGAGCTGAGCGTGCGGCCAGCGCGGAGCCGGGCCCCGGAATCGGTCAGCGGCCCGCCGAGTCCCGGTGGTTCAGGCTTCCGTTCCCGCTCCCACACACAGGCATCTCGCGAGACAACTGGCACAAGCGCCGCAAGACCGGGGGCAAAAGAAAGCCCTACCACAAGAAGAGGAAGTACGAGCTCGGACGGCCTGCTGCCAACACTAAGGTGGGGGAGCGCGTTCGGGGGCCTTACCCATTTGCGGTGTGTTTGGGGTCTTCAGCGGCTGCTGTAAAGTTCTTTGGTTTCTTTGTACTGGGCCTGGGCAGCCTCCATATGTCCACGTACTGAGTAAAATCCGGATGAGAGCATGGACTCTGAGCTTAGGGTCTAATGTAAAAGATGGTGCGTGGCAGGTTTTGAAGGGCGCCTAAACGGAACGGGCTCTTTTGTGGCAGTGCTCCAAACTTGCTATTTTTGTTATTTAAAGATCTACGGTGTTTGGGTGTCAGGTTGTTCCTTTTGGAGGTAACCAGAGTGATGAAAAAACCATCCTTAGGCGTGTGGTTATGGCCGTCTTGGTCACCTGTATGCCACTTGCCAATGCCAGGACTTGTCATAGTTAACACCGACTGTTGCCTCCACCTGTTCCAGGTTCCTCTCTCCTCTTCCTCTTCTTGATGACAAAGTTCCTGTCTCCTTCCATTTTCCAGATTGGCCCACGCCGCATGCATACAGTTAGAGTTCGAGGAGGCAATAAGAAGTACCGGGCCCTGAGATTGGATGTGGGGAACTTCTCCTGGGGCTCTGAGTGTGAGTAGGGTGTATCAAAGTACTTGAGTTCATGCAGTGCCCACAGAGGCCAGAGGTGGGTGCTGGGTCCCCTGGGAATGGAGTTATGATCGAATGTTAGCACCTATGTGGGTTCTGGGAATCGAACCCGGGTCTACTTGAAGGGCAACAAGAGTTCTTAACCACTGAGCCATCTCTTCAGCCCCCAGTTTTTCCCTTTCTAAAATACCATGGTAACCGGAGAATCCGCTTATTCAAATTTCTTAATGCTGTCTGGGGTTGTTCCTAGAGAGCTTGCCAAATAATCTCTGTGGTGAAGGGGATTGTGGGAGAGTTTATGCACCATGGCAGGATAAAGGCTCAGTGTTTCCTGCTGCCCTCCATCAGGAGTCTGGGTAAGGGTGATAAGGCTAGGTTGCCTATAGTTTACATGACTTGGTCTGACCGTTCATATGTGCTGGGGATGAAATCTGTGGTGGTCTACCACTTGCTGAGCTGCATCCTCGGCCATTTGATTGTGTACTTTCTCTTGTGGGCAGGTTGTACTCGAAAAACAAGGATCATTGATGTTGTCTACAATGCATCCAATAATGAGCTGGTCCGAACAAAGACCCTGGTGAAGAACTGCATCGTGCTCATTGACAGCACACCGTATCGACAGTGGTACGAGTCCCACTATGCACTGCCCCTGGGCCGCAAGAAGGGGGCCAAGCTGGTATGTGTTAATTTTCTTCAGGGGAGGGGGGGCTGCCTTCTTGTGATGAAAGTACTGTCCAGTTCTGCTACTGAAGGAAAGAGATGAATGCTTTCAGTGCTGAAGAAGGCAAGCATTAGGGCATTTGGGTTGAAGAAGTCTCTGACCTTCCTGGAGACAGTCACCTGTGTTCTCTACATTCAGACTCCTGAGGAGGAAGAGATTTTAAACAAAAAGCGATCCAAAAAAATTCAAAAGAAATACGATGAAAGGAAAAAGAATGCCAAAATCAGCAGTCTTCTGGAGGAGCAGTTCCAGCAGGGCAAGCTTCTTGGTAAGATGGCCATAGGGTTGGGGAAGCAGGAGATGGTGTGTATTCTACGTAAAAACTTTATTTTTTATTTTATGTGTATGCATGTATTGCCTGCACGTGGGTAAGTGCACCTGTGTTGTGCAATGCCCACGGAGGTCAGAAGAGACTGGAGCTACCGACAGTTGTTAATTGCCAAGTGGGTGCTGGGATTTGAACCTGAGTCTTTTGCAAGAACAGTCAGTGCTCTTAACCCCTGAGCCATCTCTCCAGCCCCATATTATGTTTTACCCTTGCCTGGTTCATTTGATTGCTGGGCACGTAGTCTAGCGGGCCTGCTGGGTGTTTTTGATCATGGGGTGCAGGCACAGGTGGCTCTATTTGATTGCTTTACTGGTGTGAAGGTGAAGAGGGAGGTCATACGTAGATGGCAACATTGGCCCGCATTTGGAATTTGGTCTCTGGGTCTCAGTATTTGGGGATGTTGATGCCCTGTGACTGGTGGTTCTGTCTCAGTGATGAAAACTTTGTCCAGTTCTGCTACTGACTTTTCAGTGATGATAAAGTGTATCTGAGGAGACAGTGGGCTTCATGTCTGCCCCCTGGGGTATCAGACCAACGTGCTTTGATCTGTCGGGATAGGTAGGTTGGGTGGGGCCTCCTGTCCTTTTGCTAAGGATCATCTACTCTCTTACAGCCTGCATTGCATCACGACCTGGCCAGTGTGGTAGAGCGGATGGCTACGTGCTAGAGGGCAAGGAGCTGGAGTTCTACCTGAGGAAGATCAGAGCCCGGAAAGGCAAATGAGTCACCCCAGCTCCTGTAATAAAGGTGTTGGTGCTGTCTGTATTGTCCGAGTATTCACCTGCTTTTTCCTGCTCTCTGGTTCTGTCTGCACAAAGCTGATGAGGTGATGCTTTGAACTCCTCACTTTTTGCTGTCCTGACCCCAGGTGACTAATTCATGTCCTTAAAGACCAGACCCCTGTCCAGAGTGAAGCTAGTATTCTCAGGTTTTTGTGGAAACCTGGGGCTCATTGATGTGGCATGTTAAGTAGAGACTATTGTGAACTCTTCCAGCCTTGGAATTCCCAGCAATATTGGAGTCCTGTCCAAATTATGGTTGTAATTTCAGGCCATAAAGGTTCTTAGTCTCTTTGCAAACCTGGTTTTTAAGGGTTCAGCTAAATTGTGTATGTGTGTTGGACATTAACCTTCATGCATATGGCTCTACCACTTAACATCAGCTAACCTGGGTTCTGGAAAATGACTTTCTGTTGAGAATGTTTTCTGTATTGAGCAAGTTACACATCAGGGAATGTTTTTTCTTTCTCCTCTTGTCACCCCAAATTAAAAATACGTGGGTGAGCCAGGCAAGGTGGCCCATGCCTTTAATCCCAGGAGGCAGAGGCAGGCTGATCTCTCTTGAGTTCAGGGTCAGCCTGGTCTACAGGGAGATCCTGTCTCCAAAAGGTCAAAAAAATAAATAGATGGATCCAGGAGTAGCTAAAGCAGAAAGATAAATTAAGATCAAGTGTTGAAGGCTAGGCCAGGCATGGAGGCACACCCTTTAGTTCCAGCGCTTGAAAGGCAGAAGCAGGTGGATCTCTTTGAGTTCCATGATGGGCCCCAGGCCTGTCAGGGCTGCGTAGTGAAACCTTACCTCAAAAAGGTATAGGGAAGTGCTGGAGAGATGGCTTAGCAGTTAAGAACGCTTATTGCAGAAGACCCAGGTTTGAGTCCCAGCACCCATTTGGCAGCTAACAACTGTCCATAGCTCCAGTTCCAGGGGATCTGACAGCCTCTTCTGTTTTCTGTGGGCATTACACAAGATGGGTGCACTTACCTACATGCAGACAATACACGCATACTCTTTTTAATGTGTATGCGTGTATTGTCTGCATGTAGGTAAGTGAACCCATCTTGTGTAATAGGTAAGTGCACCTGAGTTGTGCAATGCCTGTGCAGGTCAGAAGAGTCTGTCTGATAACCCAGGACTGGAGTTATGGAGAGTTGTTGTCACATGGATGCTGGGATTCAAACCTGGGTCTTCTGCAAGAACAACCAATGTTTTTAACCACTGACTCATCTCTCCAGCCTCAATAAGATACTTTTTAATGCTCCTATTTGCTTATTACTTGGGGGCAGTGGCACACATACGGAGGTCAGAAGACAGCTTTGTGAAGTGGTTCTAATTCGTGTTATCAGGCTTGCATAGCAATGGCTTTACTTAGCCATCTTGACGACCCAGATATTACCAATATTCATGAACCAGAAATAAGAGTACTTCCCCTACTTTTGTCTTTTTGAGACAGGGTCTCCCTGTAGCACCAGCTGTTCTGTAACTATGTATACCAGTCTGGCCTTGAATGCACAGAGGATCGGCCTGCCTCTGCCTCCTGGATTAAAGGCGTGCGCCACCACTCCGGGCTCCCTGCATGTCTTCTTTAGACAATGTTACCTTTCATACAGTGTTTAGAAAGGGCTCACAGGCTGCTTTGGAGAGTGATCAATCTTCATCCACATCACTTCTCTGCCTGTCCAGAGCAGGATTCACAGCAGCCAGAGGAAAGGGAAAGGTGGGAGGAGTGATGTGGCTGTCCGGCTGGTGCTGCCTCTGGCAGCACGTCGCCAAAGCCGAGCTCCAGGCATGCCTCTGGGTCCTGCTCCTCACAACCCTACTAGGGCAGGTAACTGCAGCCACATTGGGCCCGAATCTGGACGTCCCTGAGGGCTCCCCTTCAAACTCTTGGCCTCTAACACCTCGCCCTTCCCACAGGATTGTCCCGCCACCCAAGTCCCACGCTGTGGACCTGGTAGGCTCCAGGCCTGTACCAGCCCCAAATACTTTTTAAAAAAAGAACACTGAGCTGGGCATGGTAGCACACGCCTTTCTTTAATCCCAGCACTTGGGAGGCAGAGGCAGGTGGATCTCTGAGTTCAAGGCCAGCCTGGTCTCCATGGTGAATCCAGGATGGTTGGGGCTACAGGGAGACCCTGTCTCAAAAGACCACAAAAAAAAAAACCCACTGGCTACTCTTCTGAGGACCCAGGTTCAATTCCCAGCACCCACATGGCAGCTGACAGCTGTATGTAACTTCAGTTCCAGGGAATCCAACATTCTTCTGATTGTGGACATTACAAGACATGGATGCACTTAACTCTTACACATAAGATTTAAAAAAAATACATGGTTGCCAGGTGTGGTAACACCTATAATCCTAGCACTCTGGAGGCACTTGCACAAGTTTGAGGCCAGACGGGCTCTGCAGGAAGGCTTTGTCTCAAAAATACATTCACAGTGTTAAAGCATTGGGGGTGCAGAGGCAGGAGAACCTGGACTTGGCAGTGATCAAGAATTCCTAGTTTCCACAGAGAGACTGGACTGTCAGGACTAACCAGTATGAGGCAGAGTTTGGGGTTTTTGTTTGTTTTTGTTTTTTGTCTTTGAGACAGGGTCTCCCTGTAGCCCCAGCTGTCCTGGAACTCACTATGTAGACCAGACTGGCCTTGAACTCACAGAGATCTGTCTGCCTCCCGAGTGCTGGGATTAAAGGCCTGCGCCTGGCCTGAGTTTGCCCTTTTTTTTACAATAGTTACGTAAGATTATTGTGGTTATTAGTTACTATTGATCACAGGTTGCTAAGAAACCTAAAGGAGGTCACCAAGTTGTTTGAGAGGGATGCCTGATAGGACTACAGTCAGTAGATCACACGGATATAAGAAGGTTGGAGAGATGGCTCGGGTTAAGAACACTGACTGTTCTTGCAGAAGACTCGGGTTCAAATCCCAGCAGCCACGTGGCAGCTAACAACTGCCCATAACTCCAGTTCCAGGGGATCCAACAGCCTCTTCTGTACCCACGGCATTGCTCTTACGTACATGCAGGCAATACACGCATACACATAAAAGTAAAATATCTTGAAAAAATAAAAAGTACAGTGTTTTGTGTCTTCAGTGTTAATAACTTAGTTTGCAATTCCCAGAGAAGGTCTGGAGAAAGGAGTGAGGCCTATTCAATCTTATACAGGCTTTACACTTGGGTTGTTGGCTATGTTAAAATTCCTATACTTATAGAACAAATGTGGATTGTGCTGAAATTCTTTTCAGCTGGTAATGAGTTTCCTCTTAATGTGTCTCCCTAACTTTTCCTGTCTTTCTACCCTGCCTCTCTTTTTAATGGTGACAACAAATTGACAGTCCTGCCTTCATGCCACTCAATCTACCATTGAGATAACATTTGCAACCAAAGGTAATTCTTTTGTGTGGCTATGACTGATGTATGTAATTCACCTTAGTTTTGAGAGGGTCAGAGAACCTGTAGCTCATCAATCCAGCTAGACTGGCTGGCCAGTGAGCTCCAGGCATTCACCTGTCTCCAGTAATGGGGTTGTCTGGCTTTTATGTGGGTGCTTGGGCATCCAAGTTCAAGTCTTCATGCTTGCATGGCATATTTTACTGACCCCTCAAAGATCAGTTTTTGATTTTATATTTTGTGTTTTGAGTCAGGATCTTAGACATCCCTGGCTGTCCTTGTATACAGTTATGTGTTCAACTCAGGTTTGCCTGCCTCTGCTTCCCAAGTGCTGGGGTAACAGGTATAAGCTACCATACGTGGCCTACTTACTTCTTTGTAACAGGGTCTTGTTATTGTTAGCTCAAGCCTCAAACTTACTCTCTTCCTTCAATCTCCTGTAATAGGATTTTTTTTTTTTTTTTTGAGACAGGGTTTCTCTGTAGCCCCAGCTAGTCTGGAACTCACAGAGATCTGCCTGCCTCCCAAGTAGTGGGATTAAAGGCCACTAGACTGACTGTTCTTGAGATTAGGATGAACACATTTTCTCTTTCCATGAGGAAAGGACTGGGAAGTTCAGTATCTGGCCTTAGGGGAGAAACTTGTAGGGTAACATTGGTACTAGGTTTAGAGCACTTGTCAGCAGACAGGAATGAAGTGTTGAGGGGAGTTCCTGCAGTAGTAGCCCTCCTGAAGTTTCATCTGATATGGCAAGCTCCCAGGTGTTTTTTGTTTTTGAGACAGGGTCTCCCTGTAGCCCCAGCTAGCCTGGAACTCACTATGTAGACCAGGCTGGCTTTGCGCTCACAGAGATCTGTCTGCCCATGCCTCCCGAATCCTGGTCCCACTGCTCCCAGCTGGAATCATTTTTTTCTTGAGGCACTCTCACTAAATTAGCCTGCAGATGTGTGTGTGGTCTATGCTTGTAAAGGTGTGCTCATCTGTGGGCGTGTATGGTCTTCAGCTTTTTGGGTGTGTATGGGGGTGGGGATCCACAGAGGCCTCAAGAGGACATCAGATTCCCAGCAGCTGGAGTTACAAGTAGTTGTGAGCCCTCTGATTTGGGTGCTAAGAACTGAACTGGATCCTCTGGAAAAACATGCTCTCAACTGGCAGGCATAGCCTTCAATTCTTGGGGTATTTCTGAGATGGTCTCCCAAAGATCCACCTGCCTTTGCTTGAGTGCTGGGATTAAAGGTGTGTGCCTCCATGCCTGGCCCAGCTTATAATTCTTTTTAAGTTCATTTGGAGGGTGGTTGGCTGTGCACTGGAGGCCAAAGGACAAATTTGAGGAGTCCTAGTGATGAAAGAGGCTTGGCATCTTCTCAGCCTTGTACCCTAATCCCCCTTTAATTTTGTATATCTGAGTGTCTTTGCTGGTACCTGGGGAGGGTAAAAGAGGACATCAAACCCTAGGGACCTGGAGTTACAAGTGCGGGGATTGTCTCTCTAGACCTTTTTTTTTTTTTTAATTATTATCTCACTGTGTAGCCTTGGCTGGCATGGAATTCTGTATGTAGATGTACCACGTCTGAATGCTGGGAATAGACGTGCTATCACATCCAGCCTGATGACAGAATTTGGTCCTCTTCCTATACTGTCCAGTTTTCCCAGCTTTTATTTCCATCCTTTAACGTGAGAAATTTGCTCCTTTTGTTTGCATTTCAGGTTTTTTTTTTTCTGCAGCTTCAGGAAAACCAGGGTACATGTTGTCTGCCACCTCCAGTACATAGAAAACTACAGCAGTGTACTAGGTGCTTAGGTGTGTGTGGAATTAATAAATGGGGAAGAAGGTCTCATTGTGTTCACAGTGTCTTAGAACTCAAAGTAGTACAAAATCCAATTAGTTTATCAATTTAGTTATAGTATAGACTTCTGTGTGAATAGATTGTAAGATTGATTAAAAGATCAATTCCTTTTGTGAAGCCAAGTACTGGCCTAGGTCTTTAAAAACCTGACTACTGGGGCTGGAGAGATGGCTCAGCAGTTAAGAACACTGACTGTTCTTGCGGAAGAGCTGGATTCGATTCCCAGCACCCACATGGCAGCTAACTTCTGTCTTCCACGGGCATTGCACGACACGGATGCACTAACGTACATAAAAATAATGGATAAAATATTTTTTTAAAAAAACACCTGTTGCTCGGCGTGGTGGCACACACCTTTAATCCCAGCACTTGGGAGGGAGAGGCAGGCAGATCTCTGTGAGTTCGAGGCCAGCCTGGTCTACGTAATGAGTTCCAGGACAGCTGGGGCTACAAGGAGACCCTGTCTCAAGACAAAAAAAAAACCTGTTGTGCTTCAGAAATGGCTTAATGGGTGAAGCACATGCCATGCAAAAGTGAAGACCAGAGTTTGAATTCCCCAGAACCCATGTAAATGCTAGGTGGGTATGGCACCTTATTCATGATCCCAGCACTTTGGAGGTAGAGATGGGATCCCCAGAGCATGCTGACCAGCCAAATCAGTGAATGGAGTCGCCCTGCCTCAATATATAAGGTAGAAAAAGACACCCATGTAATGTCTAGCCCCAAATGCTGGGATTAAAGGTGTGCACCACCACACCCAGCAAATATTTTATTTTTTTGGTCTTTTTGAGAGGTCTCCCTGTAGCCCCAGCTGTCCTGAATTCACTATGGAGACCGGGCTGCCCTCTAACAGATCTGCCTGCCTCTGCCTCCCGAGTGCTGGGATTAAAGGCGTGCGCCACCATGCCTGGCCATAAAGATATTTTAATACAGGGTTAAGTACCACAAAGGTTATGAGAAAAGCACTCAAACTAAGACAGATCCAAAAGCTGGGCTTGGTGGCTTTAGTTCTGCACTCAGAAGGTGGAGTCAGAGTTCAAGGCCATCCAGGGCTACGTAGACTTAATTTTTTATGAGTGTTTGCCTGCATCTATATGAGTGCACCCATGTCATGCAATGCTGGAGGTTAGAAGAGGGCTTCTGATTCCCCTGAACTGGAGTTAAGGACGGTTTGTAGCCGCCATGTGGGTGCTGGGAATCGAATCTGGGTCCTCTGCAAGAGCAGTCAGTGCTCTTAACCACTGAGCCATCTCTCCAGCCCAGACTGTCTTAAAAAAAGTGCACGCCTTTAATCCCAGCAGGTGGATCTCTGTGAGTTCAAGGCCAGCCTGGTCTACATACTTCCAGGACAGCTGGGGCTACAGGGAGACCCTGTCTCAAAAAGACCCCCCCCCCAAAAAAAATGCACAGTGGCCCTGGCCTATAATTTTAGCTACTTAGAAGGTTGATGCAGGATTGAAAGTTCAAGGTCAGCCTGAGCAATTTATTGAGATCATGTCTACACTCCAGTGTTTCCCTCTTCTGTGTTAGTTTCCCTTTCATCTTGTCAGGTCTGTCATTCACCAGTTCTTTGTGTGGACATGAGTTTATAAAGCAGGACTCGGGAGCAGTGCGTGGTGGTGCACACCTTTAATCACAGGATCTATACAGGTCCAGGCTCAGTTGTCCAACTCCCACCTGGCTCACTATGGACACAGACTTGTTCTCTTAAACTCCCCATTTGGTTGCGAGAACAAGAAGAGACTACTAGGGTGTGTGGTATAGGACTGCTTGTTTAACCGGCCTCTGGGGTAAATTCTCAAACCCTGCTCCACCTTTACCCTAGGCAAATGTCAAATCAATTTAAAAAATTGTAACTGCGCAAGTGATAAGTGGATATATTCGCTTAGTAAAGAAAGGCTTGAGCATTACAGAATAAGTTCCGTCAACGCAAATACTGACCCACCATCCGAGTGAGCAAGGTTAGCAGGGTAAGAAAAGTACATCCTCCCGTTTTCTCAGGCTGTTGCCCCTTAGGCCAGCAGCACAGCATCCTCTCAGAACTTGGAAATGCATTTCCTGAATTCAACCCCAAATCAAATGCAGCAGAAAGGCTGGGACTGACTCTGGACAGTGGGCAGGACCACAGAAATCTCGGTATTTTGGATCACGGGCCTAACTCCCTGTTGGCTGGTAATGAGAAATCACTTGTCTTCATTTTTGTTGTCTTTACCATTCTAACTTCACCTCCCCAAACAACCCACCCTACCTTCTCTTATACTAGTGGAGATACACCCCTACCCCCGGCTCTGACAAACTTTAGTCCACCATCTTTGCTTTCAAGGGCCAGCCCTATCCAGGAAAAACTGCTTTGAGCCCTGGCTGACAGGATAGAGCGCTCCTGGAAGAAAGCTTGGAGGCCAGGGGCAAAAAGGAGAGCCTCAGGGCTCCAGGGCCTCATCCCCACATTCTGCAGCCTCCTCAATTGGTCCAGCGACCTCTTGGCTGCCTTCCTCTACCCTGAAGCGCAGCACGTGTGGGGTCCTGGGGGCACCACGCATGCGCCCAAAGTTCCGAAGGCTGATAGCAGGTGAGGGTGCTCCAGTGCCCAGGAGGCGGCCCAGCAGTGGGGTCTGTGCAGCAGGCAAGGGTTGGGCCAGCCTCGGGGACATCTCCACCTGCATGCTTTGCTCTGGGTCATCACTCATGCTGGCAGAGCAGGGAGGGGAAGGAGTAAACTTGTGTCCCCAGGAGTCATTTGTGTTCCCAGAGGGTGGCCAGCTCAAATTCCAACTCACCGCAAGTTGAAGGTGGAGCCTAGGAAGGAAGGCCTTAGCGACTCAGCAGCGGTGGCCACAGTGTAGGGTGGCTGCGGTTGGTCCTCATCCCAGTACTGGTCCTTCTCTGCTGGAGGCAGGTTCTGGTACATGTCATCCACAGATAGCAGGGACACCTGGCCCAACAGGAAGGCAAGCAGCAGGCTACAAGGTTGTCTCCTCTCCACACCTGGGTTGACAGCCTGTGCCCCCAGACTGTTATCCCACAACTCAACCTGCAAGTTTCGGTCTATGAGCTGATTGGTCTCGAAGTCGTCGTCATCCTCACCAAAGGGGTTAATGAGCTGTTCAGCTACCTGTAAATTGCAAAGATGGTGTCTTAGGCCTAGAGCCCTACTCCTTGGTCCCATCGTTAAGGTGTGATTATCAGTGCCCATGTCCCTACAGAGTGGGCTGGCATGACCGTCCAAAGTGCCCACCTTGAGCCAACCAGCGTAGAAGAAGAATTGCAGTAATGTGGTGAGAGGCACATACATGTCCAGGTCCCCCAGTGCTGGTGAAGCCTTATCTGGGTCCAGAGGCCCCTGAGGTTTGGTAGCTCCTGGTTCTGGCTCCACAAACTGGCGGCCAACCAGGGAAAGGGTGAAGAAGGAGTATACAGCTATGGTCACAACCTGGAAAAAGGAAAACCAGGGCCAGAGTGTGGTGCACTGAACCAGACAAATATGCTTGCCTCTGAGGACCTGAGAGGAGGCTGTAATAAACCGGTATTGGGTGGGGGCATCAGTGGGGTCAGGGTTATCTTGGGGGCAGAGGAAGGCTTTGAGGATACCCTTCGCTGTTGAATGCCTCATGGGACTGAATTGGCCCATGTGAAGGACTAGCTCTAATTCTCAGTATTTCATACAGAACAGGGCAGCCAGTAGGGACTGGGAAGATAAGCAGTTACTTGAGTGTAGACGAGGGGGATACTGATCCAGTCATAGTGGAACAGCATGCTGCACTTGGCACGATACTTGTTCAGCTCCTGGAGAAAGAAGAGATCGGTGGAGACAAGGAAGATGAGGAAGAGGATGGGAGCCCAGCACAAAGCAGACATGGGGCAGGCCTGTGGTTCATCTGCTCTGGTGTTACAGGGATGGGCTGCTTAGGACAGGAAGCAATTTGGCAGAAGCTGCAAACATTCTAGACCTGAAGCAAGAATGACTGGATCCAGCTCCACTAATCAGCTGTATGAGGGACTTTTTGACTCTGCTCAGTGGAAAGGGAATGATAATAGCCTGTCTCAAGGGCTGCTTTGAGGACTAAATGAGTCAATACAAGTACATGTTTCCAAAGTGCATGATAATTGGGTCTGGTGGCTCATGCCTGCAATGCTAGCACTTGGGAGACTGGCAGGATTGCCATGGGTTCAAGGCTAGCCTGGGCAAAATAGTTCTAAGTAAACATGGGCTATAGAGAATAATCTTGTCTCAAAAAAAGTGTGGTGTATAGTTTGTGCCAGTTAAGTGTTAAATAATATTTATTGTTTTGAGGAGTCTCCCTGTAGCCCCAGCTGTCCTGGAATTCACTGTATAGACCAGGCTGGCCTTGAACTCAGAGATCTGCCTGCTTCTGCCTCCCAAGTGCTGGGACTACAGGTGTGCACCACCATGCCCAGCTTTAGGGTTTTTTGTTTTTTTTTTTTAAGACAGTCTCACTATATAGTCTTGACAGGCCACAAACTCACTATGTAGCACAAGCTGGCCTGAATCTCACAGAAATCCAACTCTGGCATTAAAGGCATGCATCAGCATGCCCAACCTGTTATTATTTTGAAGTTATAGGGAGGGGAGCCAAGGGTTCAAATTCTAAATTGACTTACTTCCAGAAGGAGACAGAGAGTAATGTCATCACGGATTCGCCCCTCCCTTCGTGCCTGGGCGGCCAGGTTAGTGAACCAAACACAAGGGACCCAGTACTTGTTGAAGTCCGATTTCAGACTTTCAAACTTTTTTCTCTCTTCCTGAGACATGAAACCTGTGAGGGGGAAAAGGGTAGGGTGCACACACATCCTCTGCTCCCAGGGGTTGCAAGTGACCCAACATATGGCTATCCTTCCTTGCACCCACTGGCAGCCCAGGAACTCTGGAGCGCCCTCTAAGGATCAGACCTCCCCATCCCAGGAAGCCCCTGACCCAAGGCTCCCCTGCCCAGCCAGACATGGCACCTGCATCCACTATGTGCTCCATGGTGGGGAAACGTTTGAGCACTCGGGTGCTCACAGAGCGCAGCACCAGCACTGATGCCAGGTTGGCATAACGGATAAGTGTTCGGCGTAGCAGACGGCCACGCTGGTCCACACCATGCACGCTGGCTGAGATGACACACATCAACTGGTCCGGCAGCGGGATGCTTGTATACTGAGACCACCAGCGGTTCACCACCAGACTCACATAGAAGCCTGGTGGGTGGGCCACCATGAATGATGGGGACAGGAGGAAGCATTGAGGGGCTATAGGGGACTGCCAGGCCTTGAAAGGGGGACAGGTATGACATTAGGCTCTAGTGCTCTTCTGGTCCCACTGTGTTGCTGGGACAGGACAGGCCAGAAGGAGGAAGTGAGTGCAAACTTCCAGGGAAGAGGGGAAGTGTGAGTTTAAAGTCAGGCAATGATTGAGTCTAAGACCTGCTCTCCATGAGGGTGGGGAGGGGGCTATCCCTTCTCTCCAACTCTCCTCCAGTACCCAGAGTAGGGTTATGAGGCCAGTCCATGTTTTATGCCAGTACAGACAGGGTTCAGCAAGTGACAAGCAAGGAGTGACCCTGAGGAAACTCTGGACCCAGGCTTCAGCCCCTGTGTCTACTGGTTGAGTCAGGCCATGCTGCCCAGAATTGTCAACCCAAATGTCAGAGAAGATGGTCAGGTAATAGGAAGAACTAGAAGGGGCTTCACCTAGTACAAATGACAGGGGGATGAGGTCTGCTGAGCGGTTGCAGTATCGGGCCACCTGAGCATACACGTGCTTCTGCTCCTGGGTCAGCAACAGCCTAGGGGAGATCAGGTGTAAGCCTGGGCTGGAGGAAAGTGGGCACTGCAGGCCCCCACAGGCTAGGGCTCAGAGCTACCCTTACCGGTAAGTGATGCTGAGCACAGCATACAAGGCGATGAACAGCAGGAACTCCTTGTAGAGGAGCTTGTAGATGCTGCCTCTCCAGCGGAGGAGCAGGCCAGAGAAGGCTCCAAAGCGGGCCTCCGCCACTTTGAGGGTGTAAGAAACCGTCATGGTACTAGGGCCTGGGGCAGAAGGTCACAGAACTGTCCTCTTGACTTGCCTTCTCATCACTAAACTTCACACCCCAGGCAGCCGTCCTTCACCTCTGTGTCTGTAGACAAGGGGCTAGAAAGCTGCAGGGTAGACAGAGTACAACCAATCTGCAGAACATAGGAAGCCAGGGCAGAGTTAGACAAAATGGAGCTGAGCTCTGCCCTACACACATGAGGCTTTCCTCAGCTCTTCTGCCTGTGGAGCTGGGATAACTAGATCCTGAACTGTTGTGGACAAGAGCCTCAACTTGCTGAGAGTGGTGGTGTAAGCTTGTAATCCAAGCACTCAGAAAGCTGAGACAGGAGGATCATGAATGAGTTCAAGACCAGCTTGTGCTACATAGAAAGCCCTTATCTCAAAACAGGCCTAACTCTTAATACAGAGCCACCACCTTTCCTTGGAATCTAATTACCTGGTCTTACAAGCCCCAGGGCCCTCATTCCCACCCACACCTCCTTACCTTCTCTGAGCAGAAGCCTGGAATAACGAGACCAGACTTCACTCTTCACACTCCTAAGTAGCTGCTGGATCCATAAAGTTAGGTTGAAGTGGAATGGATGCTATCATTGATGGATTGAGGTTGTCATCTAGCTGGTCCTGGGAACTGGGTGTGTGTTACTATTCCTGCAGGGCTGGGCTGGCCTTTGGCAAAAGTGCCATATGTTCTGATCCCACAGCTGACACAAGTGACACCGTGTCCCTTAAGTAGGGACAATAGGGATTACTGTCCCACGCTCCAGGTGAGATGACAGTTGCAGGGTGAACTGTTATAATATCAGCTGCTGATCACAGAGTCCTGACAGACACTATACCAGGGACCCTACTTATCTACTCATGGACTCCTCACTGTAGCCTCACAAGGTCAAAATCATCCCAATTGCACAGATTAGGTTCAAAGAGGCATATGATCACACAGCCAGGTCAGGTTTGAGTAAAAAGCCACAGCTGCTGGGCTTCAAAGGCTGGGAGATTCTCAAATGGGTATAGAGCGGGACTTGAGCACTATGATCAGGGTACTCAGCACCAGTGCCAGGCCTCTGGTCCAGGGTTGGAGTGCTGACCAAGCCCTTCCCTAGTCTCATGAATAAGGTTAGAGAGGCTACAGATCTGGGAATTCAGACCACAGTGCACATACCTGTAAGCTCTGTGTCCAACATCTTGACTCCTAGATGTTCTCAGGCTCTTTGTGTTTTATTTAAAAAAATTTTTTTGGTCTTTTTGAGACAGGGACTCCCTGTAGCCCCCTGCTGGTCTGGAACTCACTCTGTAGACCAGGCTGGCCTCAAACTCATAGATCCACCTGCCTCTGGCTGGGATTAAAAGCGTGCACCACCACACCCAGCTTATTTAAAATTTTTATTATAGCTTTGTGTTTGTGTGTCTGTGTGCACACACACACAAATGTGCATGTGCATACACGTATCATGTTGCATGTGTGGAGGTCAGAAGACAACTTGTGGGAGTCCAGGCATCCATTCTCTTCTTCCACCATGTGGATCCTGGGAATTGAACTCGGATTGTCAAGCTTCGCAGTAGGCACCTTTACTCACTGAGCCATCTCCCTGGCCTTTCCAGGCTCTTTGTGTTTGTTGTTTTGATTGATTGATTGATTGATTGATTGATTGATTGATTGATTTTGCTTCTTGAGACAGGATGTCACTATGAAGCCCAGATAGGCCTGGAGTATATCATCCTCCTGCCTCAGTTTCCTAATTGATGGGATACTAAGGGGTGGTCTTCATTTCTTCATCTGTCAAGCAGAGGAAATAAAACCCATGATCAAATTCGAAACAGAACATTAAAATTGGGAGAGATCTAGGTAGCTCCTTTACCCTTGCAGTGCTGAGGTTATCTGTCTAATCCCACAAGTGGCATCTGCCTCTCACCTGCCTTAGGAGACTCCTACCCACACTGTGAGCTGGTTCTCACCTGCAAGTGTTTCCCAAAAAGGAGAGGCATGGATACAAGAGCCTGACATTCAGGAGACCCTGTCTCAACCCCCACTTCCCCAACACACACACAATCAAAGTGAGGGGGAACTCATTTGGACTTCCTTTTTTCTCTTTTTATTTTTTGAAACAGAGTCTCCCTGTAACCCCAGCTGACCTGGAACTCCCTATGTAGACCAGGCTGGACTTGATCTCACAGAGATCCAACTGATTCTGCCTTCTGAATGCTGGGATTAAGGCATGCACCACCACACCTGGCATGGACTCCTTTTGAGTGCTGTAGTCAAAGTAGATTTATCTTACAGTTGTTTGCCAGTGAAGATCAGCCATTGCTAATTAGGAGGAATCCTAAACCTGGATCTTGGCCTGCCCTTCCTTCCCTTCCTTCCTTCCTTCCTTCCTTCCTTCCTTCCTTCCT